TCTGGAATTCCACTGGTCTCCTTGATCTTGAGCTAAGTTGCTAAGAAATTGGAATCATCATGCATTGTTGGTGGGTGTGCAAAATGTTACAGGCATTTTGGAGAACAATTCTGCAATTTCATAGAAAATTAAACATAAACTTACTATATGAACCAAAAAATCCTTTTTCTAGGGACCTAAGAAAAATCAAAACTTATTCTCACACAAAGACATGTACACAAATATCACAGCAAAGTTATTGAAAATAGTCAAGTTGTAGAAAAAAAAATCCACAAATCTGTTAGCTGGTAAATTGATAAGCAGACACTAATATTGACATCAGTGTAATTTTATTTAGTAATTAAAAGGAAGGAATTAGTGATACATGGGTGTCTAAAATATTATGCTCAGTAAAAGGAGTTAGAAGCAAAAGGTTATGCATTATTGTCCCAGTTATTCTAAATGTCCAGAAAAGGTTTATATAGAGAGTTAGAAATCACAATAGTGGTTGGCTAGGGCTTAGAAGTCAGAGCAGAGATTAACTGTGAAAGAGCGCAGGAAGCTTTTTGTGTTGATGGAAATGGTCTAAAACTAGATTATGTGATGTTTCCACATTTTTATAAATAATCTACCAAAAATTATACATTTACAAGGTTGTCAATTATTTATCTCAACAAATCTGTTCAAATATAAATATTGATATAATATGCAGTGCATATTTCATTTGAACAAGTGTAAAATAAACTAGTGAAAAAGCCTAAGTCCTTCAGTCAACACTTTTGTGATCCAGGATTTTTATTTGTTTGTTTTGTTTGGCCTAAAAGCCCCAAAACTCTACTCTACTCTACCCTCACTCCCTTCCTTCCTTCCTTCCTTCCCCACTTCCTTCCTTCTTTCCTTCCCTCCTTCCTTCCTTCCTTCCTCCCTTTCTCCTTTCTCCCTCCCTCTTTTCTTTCTTTCTTTCTTTCTTTCTTTCTTTCTTTCTTTCTTTCTTTCTTTCATCTCTCTCTCTTTCTTTCTTTCTTTCTTTATTGAAGTATAGTTGACTTACCCTTTTATATTGTTTTCAGGTGCACAACAAAGGCAATTCTGCACTTTACTCAATGTTCACCACAGTAAACGTTGATGCAGGATTTTGGTGACTACTCATTCATTTTGTTTTGTTTCCTATATCTCGTGATGAGCATTGCTTATATTAGGGTTTTCAAGTGATGAGATTCACTAGATAAGTGCATAATATATTCAGTTAAATTTAATTTAAAAAAAAACAAATTTCATGGTTTTTTTTTCAAACTACATTCTTAGACAACTCATAGATGCCATCGTTTTTAGAAACATGGTTCACACTCTAGTGTTTCCTGATGCTTTGGTAGTTCATTGAGCAGGTGAACACACAGATGTATAGCTATCTTTATCAGGAAACATTTGTTTAATGTCCACCTGTGCACATGTCTACTAAATATTAAATTTGTTCATTTTGTATTTTGCATACTCTCTAATGCGGTATTCTAAAATCATAAAGGAGGTGTCAACAATGTTGGAGACAGTCAGAATCAGAGCCAGGGAATAGGAATAAGCTCAAAGAAGTCTTAATTAAAATCAAAGATGCACCGCATGTCTAAAGTGTGACTAGAGTTAAATCCTATCTTCTAGTCCTTAATATCCAGCTCTAGTTAACTCCTTTTTCTCTCTGACTTATTGCACATACTTTTATTTTTCATATCAGATTATCAGATAAAAACTATTTTTCTGAATCTTACCTGCATCTAATGACATACAAAACTGCTTAAACATACATGGTCTTTGACCTTAAAGCAAATAATTTAAAACAAGTAACACTTACATGAAAGACGTATGAACAAGTAAATATATATGATTCTAATATTATACCTTAGTTCTTAGAAATATGCTTATTTGTCTTTAATATTTTATAAAGATGGTTATGAGCATTCATAAGCATTGAGCCATTTCATTTCACATTAATCTTCATTCACTTTTATAGTTCCATATAAGAATTCCTCAGGCTTGATTTTTTTTTTTTTTTAGTTTTTATTTATTTATTTGACAGATAGAGATCACAAGTAGGCAGAAAGGCAGGCAGAAAGAGAGGGGGAAGCAGGCTCCCTGCTGAGCAGAGAGCCCCTCAGGCTTTATTTTAAAGAAGTATGGAAAAAAGTTAAAACATGCCACAAAGTGCTTTATCTAGAGAGTGTAAAAATTAGGCTTCCCTTTTTGTTTATTTTGTTTTGGTTAGTTTTGAAGTGTTTTTTGTTGTTGTTTGTTTGTTTTTTGTTTTTGTTTTGGTTTTAAGTATTAAATTAGAAGGCCAATCACATTTAACGGCCCTGCCAAATTCTCAGGTGTCTCACTAGGGTTGGAAATCTTAGGTCTTTGCTGAGTCTGACCAAACCAAGACTCACACAAAGGCAGAGGAGAACAAGAAAATACAGGGGGACAAGGGAGTAAGTATTAATTCCATGGTCATCTTCTCCACTGCAGAGAAAAAATGAAAAATGCTGCCATTAATGAAATCTTATCTTACAAAGGTATGGTATCTTTAAATAAGGCCAAACACAATGTAAGAATTGCTATGTAAAGAACATATGTTAAACATATAGACCATACAGTCTCATTCTCTAGTTATGAAACCAAGTGATACTTCTATAGAGTCATAGGAACCTCGGTCAGCATCTGTGTTTTTTGTTCCAAAGTATAATAAGGAGAAGAAGGAGGGCATTATTATTGATCAGAAAAAATTCTTTGATTACTTTTTTAAATAAATGAAAATGATGATATATACCATTACTATACATATGACATTTATAATGTGTGTATTAGATGTCACAAATGTTTAGATTAAATTAGAGAGGGGCCAAAACATACTAATAAAAGTGTCTCATATCTGAATACCACTTCTTGATACAGGGTGGGGCTTTACTAAAAATGGGACCTATTTTCTAAATCAGCAGGAAGGATTTCTGAAGGAGATGGGCTTACAGATCTTATTAATTCAAAATTGCTATATTTTTTCAGCCTCAGACCATGCATCAGACATTAACCCTCCCATACTCTATTTCCTTTGCCCCCTTCCTTTTGACTCTGTGGAGGATAACAGATACAAAATCAATAGCTGTGTAGAAGAAGCAGATATAACATTCCGAGGGACACTGGAGAGAGGGAATGGAAGCAACAATTCATTTTTCTGTCTCAGTTTAGATTGTATTTATACCACCTGCTATGCCTGTGGGAATGGAATCTATAGTAGTGTCTTTAGACACAAACTTTCTCTTAGTGACTTTCCTTTTTCTATTCAGCGTGATAGCATTTTTTTTTTTTTCCCTGGGAAAAGTAGCCTATGGCACTTGGCTGAAGAGATGAGACTTCAATGAGATATAGGAGACAAAGAGTGACAAATTAAAATGACAAGGCTGTCTTATAAGATTGTGATCCAGTGAAATGAAGTATTTCTGGCCCAGTCAATGTAGACAGCATTATGCTATGTGGGAATAGATTGCAAGACCTGGGCAGCCTGTATATGTCTTTGAGATAACTGAATTTGTCACTATCAACACTCTCCCAAATTGTGTCTTTCCTGGCTTTTGAGAATAGGAGTATGGACAAAGGTATTCATATAAGTCAAGTATTTAGGGATACTTTATTTTTCCTAAAAAAAAATTAAAAAGACTTAAAAAAAAAAGAAATTTTAGTAATACGCTTGTCTCTGGCATGATATTAATCCAAAGAGAAGCTTTGTAATAGATAACTAATAGCCCTAAAACTGATGGTGAACTTAGGTACCATGTCTGTCGAATGTCTTGTTAAATTGATCCTCTTGTAACTTTACCTGGTAGGTGACCACACAGTCTCCTGAGTTTCAGTCCTGCCCACTGGACCTCTTTACCTAGTGTTAGCACTATTATTCCAAATTCAACAAACATTAAATAAAATTTGTAGGCTTTTTTTTAAATCAGTGGAAATGCCATTGAAAATCATCAGATAAAAGTTTAAGTTTCCCTTGTATTTAGCTGCTTGGTACCAAATGGGGAAGGGAAAAAGAGTAGAAGGTTGTAAGCATGCTTGAGTTGGAAGATCTCTATCATGTCCTTCTTTGTCATCACCTATGTGTTCCTTAGTAAATCACCAAATCCTTTAGTTTGTTTACAATGTTTCTTACATTTTCCCCCTTTCCAATCCTTCTGCTTCCTTTCTGACCCAGGTCCTCATTTCTTTTCAAAGTGAGAAATATGATTCATTCAGGGACTCTAATCATATTATAAAATACTTTCAGTGGCATCCTGAGAATACATGAGAATATTTTTTTGTTCCTTCAATCAAAGTTCCTTTTGATGATTATCATCATTTATATTATTTTAAAAAACTGGGACTATCCATGGTAGACTATACTTATTGTCTGTTTTGGAAATATTCTAAGATTTCTTAAGGATTCAAGCAAGAAAAAGTTACCCCTTCATAAAGCAGTGAATGTCTTCAGTTCTGGATAGCTGTATTTTTCATCTTTGGCTGGCCAGATTTTTAGTTGTTTCTAATTTATTGATGCAAGCACTACAAAAACTAGAGGATGGTTGCTTTTATCAGGTATATGACAGTAGTAGTGTAGCCAGATTATCATACTTGTATCTTTACTTAAATGTTATGCCCATATCCCCCAATAAGACTATGCATTTCTATTATCATTATTATTATTACTCATTTATATTGTAAGAAGGATGTTTTAGGTGATTTCTATCTTCCAAAACTCAATTCTAAAAAGAGTTTTGCTTTTTTGTTTTTTTTAAGATTTTGTTTATTTATTTGTCAGAGAGAGAGAGAGAGAGAGAGTATGTGTGCACAAGCAGGGGGAGGGTCAGGCAGAGAGAGAAGCAGGCTTCCCTCTGAACAAGGAGCCTGATTCAAGACTCCATCCCAGAGCCTGAGCCAAAGGCAGATGCACAACCAACTGAGCCACCCAGGTGTCCCTAAAATTTAGATAATTATTTAAAAAGTTGAATAAGTGGCACTCCCTCCGCCCTCCGTCACTCTCCTGGTCCGGGTCTCCGCGGCTCGGCGCCGGCCCGCCATGGTGCGGTCGGCGAGCCCTGCGCGGCCCCGCTGAGCCTCCGTGCGGCGGCGAGCCGGGCTCGGGGTCACCATGCCTACCCGAGTGTGTTGCTGCTGTTCTGCTCTGCGTCCTCGCTACAAACGCCTGGTGGACAACATATTCCCTGAAGATCCAAAAGATGGCCTTGTTAAAGCCGACATGGAGAAATTGACATTTTATGCAGTATCTGCTCCAGAGAAACTGGACCGAATTGGTTCTTACTTAGCAGAAAGGTTGAGCAGGGATGTTGTCAGACATCGTTCTGGGTATGTTTTAATTGCTATGGAGGCTTTGGACCAGCTTCTTATGGCTTGCCATTCTCAGAGCATCAAGCCATTTGTGGAAAGCTTTCTTCATATGGTAGCAAAGCTGCTAGAATCAGGGGAACCAAAGCTTCAAGTTCTTGGAACAAATTCTTTTGTCAAATTTGCAAATATTGAAGAAGACACACCATCCTATCACAGACGTTACGACTTTTTTGTATCTCGCTTCAGTGCCATGTGTCATTCCTGTCATAGTGATCCAGAAATACGAACAGAAATCCGAATTGCTGGAATCAGGGGTATTCAAGGAGTGGTTCGCAAAACAGTTAATGATGAACTTCGGGCTACCATTTGGGAACCCCAGCATATGGATAAAATTGTTCCATCCCTGTTGTTTAACATGCAAAAGATAGAAGAGACTGACAGTCGCACAGGTCCTCCTCCCTCCCCTCCTGCCACTGACAAAGAAGAGAATCCCGCTGTGCTGGCCGAAAACTGTTTCAGAGAACTGCTGGGTCGAGCAACTTTTGGGAACATGAACAATGCTGTTAGACCAGTTTTTGCGCATTTAGACCATCACAAACTATGGGATCCCAATGAATTTGCAGTTCACTGCTTTAAAATTATAATGTATTCCATTCAGGCTCAGTATTCTCACCATGTAATTCAGGAGATTCTAGGACACCTTGATGCTCGTAAAAAAGATTCTCCACGGGTTCGAGCAGGTATCATCCAGGTTCTGTTAGAGGCTGTTGCCATTGCTGCTAAAGGTTCCATAGGACCCACAGTGCTGGAAGTCTTTAACACCCTCCTGAAGCATCTGCGTCTCAGTGTTGAATTTGAAGCAAATGATTTACAGGGGGGATCCGTAGGCAGTGTTAATTTAAACTCAAGTTCCAAAGACAATGATGAGAAGATTGTGCAGAATGCTATCATCCAAACAATAGGATTTTTTGGAAGTAACCTACCAGATTATCAGAGGTCAGAAATAATGATGTTCATTATGGGGAAAGTACCCGTTTTTGGAACAGCCACCCATACTTTGGATATCAGTCAACTAGGGGATTTGGGAACCAGGCGGATTCAGATAATGTTGCTGAGATCTTTACTTATGGTGACCTCTGGATACAAAGCAAAGACAATTGTTACTGCACTGCCTGGATCTTTTCTGGATCCTTTGTTATCACCATCTCTCATGGAAGACTATGAACTGAGACAGTTAGTCTTGGAAGTCATGCATAATCTCATGGATCGCCATGACAATAGGACAAAACTTCGAGGGATCAGAATAATACCAGATGTAGCTGACCTAAAGATAAAAAGAGAAAAAATTTGTAGACAAGATACAAGTTTCATGAAAAAGAATGGGCAGCAATTGTATCGGCACATATATTTGGGCTGTAAAGAGGAAGACAATGTTCAGAAAAACTATGAACTACTTTATACTTCTCTTGCTCTTATAACTATTGAATTGGCCAATGAGGAAGTGGTTATTGATCTCATTCGATTAGCTATTGCTTTACAGGACAGTGCGATTATCAATGAGGATAATTTGCCAATGTTCCATCGCTGTGGGATCATGGCGCTGGTTGCGGCGTACCTCAACTTTGTAAGTCAGATGATAGCTGTCCCTGCATTTTGCCAACATGTTAGCAAGGTTATTGAAATCCGAACTATGGAAGCCCCTTATTTTCTACCAGAGCATATTTTCAGAGATAAGTGCATGCTTCCAAAATCTTTAGAAAAGCATGACAAAAATTTATACTTTTTGACCAACAAGATTGCAGAGTCACTAGGTGGAAGCGGCTATAGTGTTGAGAGATTGTCAGTACCATATGTACCGCAAGTTACAGATGAAGATCGACTTTCTAGAAGAAAAAGTATTGTGGACACCGTATCCATTCAGGTGGATATTTTACCCAACAGCATTCCTTCTGATGACGTGGTTAATAACACTGAAGAAATCACCTTTGAAGCGTTGAAGAAAGCAATTGATACCAGTGGAATGGAAGAACAGGAAAAGGAAAAGAGGCGTCTTGTGATAGAGAAATTCCAGAAAGCACCTTTTGAAGAAATAGCAGCACAGTGTGAATCCAAAGCAAATCTCCTTCATGATCGACTTGCTCAAATACTGGAACTCACCATACGCCCTCCTCCCAGTCCATCAGGAACACTGACCATTACTTCTGGGCATGCCCAGTACCAGTCCGTCCCAGTCTATGAGATGAAGTTTCCAGATCTGTGTGTGTACTGAGTGGCTCACGAAGATCTCAGTGTAGGATCTAAAGCCGAAAAATTAAGGCCATGCTGAGTTTTCAGAGTTTACTTAATGCGTATTAACATAATTCTTGAGAATAACAGTGACACTTCAACCAAATGCTTGGCACATACCACATTAGACATGGTGGAGCCGTCTATGATTTAGAATACTTCTAAAGGTGGATTTCTGCCATGATCATTTCTTTTGCAGTTCCTGTTGGCTTTCAAAGTTGGACATATATTGATGTCCCATTATTCCATAGTTAAACCGTACATTTTAAACTTTTCACAAACAGGTAATTTTTTAAAAATATTATGCCTCCAGAGGGTTGAAGATGTGTCAGGTATCTACTGTATTTCTTAAACATCTACACAACTGCTTAGAAATAGAATTGCTTTTGTGTTTGGTTATCTGCAAAAGCAAATACATACAAATATATTGCTAATCTTGGGGCTGCAAAACTGTTCTGTGGCTTGTTGTCCCCATGTTTTAGATGTTGTGATCTATAATAACATGTAATAGGCATTCCTCAACTTGTTTATGGTAATGAGACATCTGTTGAGTAATATTCCTAGAATATGACCAACCCTAAAATTGCCATACTTAAAAGTGTCTAGTTCTTGTAATACTGTGTTTTCTGCCAAGAGTTTGACCATTCTACTTGAGAGAAGCTTGGAGCTTACTCTTGGTGTTCCAAACTGTGCAATATTTTTTTACATCATAAGATGTATTAGTTTACAGACTATACTTTGAAATTATAGTAATATTTTGCTGTGGTTCCATTAATTAAATCAGATCTATATTTAGTGTAGGAAAAAAAAGACCTTTAAAACAGCTACTAGTTCACCTGTGAAGACTGTGTACATTTTGAGTTCTATCAAAGCACATTATTTGCATTTTTATATTGTGCATTGTTTAAAATCTTCATAGTCAGAGAATTCTCCAGATGGACTTCTGATTTGTAAGATTTGAACTATTAAGTTGTATGCATCTGTTTAGGATTTATTCTATTACATTTGAAAAGAATGCCTGTGGCTTTAGCAATCAAGTGTGCTGAGGATCGTCAGTTGTGAGCTCTGTTGATTTAAGCTACCAAGGTCATGTATGTACCCTACACAAGTGGGGTACATACCTGTAGTGTTTTCTTAAAACTATGTGCATTTTAGTGAATTCCATCAAACAGCAAAAATGAACAACTTTCTTTGCAAGTCTTATAAAATTCTCATAGGACATTTTTATTGAATAACCTCTTTATAATTGTATTGCCTCTTCAGATTCAGTTTCTTTTTACAAAGAGCAAAATACATATCAAAAATTGTAGCTCAAAAACTAATTCAGTTTTTAGCTTTTGTTTTTGTTTGAAAACTTACAGTGAGATTGGCAGGTTGTAAATTCGTGTTTATGATTATTAGGCACCTGTACAATAAACAGAAAGAAGTCAGGAAGTGACCAAAGAAAAAGCATACCCCAGATTTTTTTAATGAACTGAACTACTACAGCATCTTGAAACATCTTGCAAAAGATCCTAGTCATTAAAACCCATAAAATGATACGCAGCCCTCCTGGGCAGTGTGTTAAATGTAAGTAAACGAGACTTTGTTTTCAGAATAATACCGCAGGTATTAATGGCCTTCATGCAGCTGTCACTGTAAGTTTGCCTCTTGATTGGGTAAAATGTGTCATCATATGACAGGTCAAGTTTTCTGTTTTTTTATTTCTCTTTTTTTCTTCTGTATTTTTAAAGAAGTATATTAATTTTTGTGCATTTAAAAAAATCTAAGCAGGGGGACATTCAAAAACAATCATCATCCACTTGGATGTCATTTTATAGATTAACACTGTGTGCTTTTGTATGAAAAAATATATAATTTAATAGTATAAGTAAAGGAGATCTATATTCACTTGCACTCATGCAAACAAACTTTACAAAATTTCATGTTTTTCTGTAGTTTAAAAAATGCATGTATTGCATGTAAAGGAAAACCGTTGGAATTAATGTTTATCACATCTTTCTCTTGGTCTATTTGTAAACTGTTGTGTGGGGTTTGCAGGTTTTTTCTTGTTGTTGTTGTTGTTTTTAAACCACAGTAGACATCGATATATCCTGGATGACTGAACTGGTCTTGTTAGCAATGATTCCCAAGAAGTGGGTCTTTTCTTTGGTTTGTCCTTTTCAGGAGATTGCAGGACTCCTGCTGGGCAATGGCTGTGTTCCGTTTATAGCCAGTTTGGAGACTGAAAGTTTAGGATTTGCTGAAGTTCACCGTATGGCTATATTTTTGTAGATATTTAAAACTCTTAATAAACTGTTACTCATTCTCTTTAAAAAAAAAAAAAAAAAGTTGAATAAGTGAGTGATGTCAAGCCTAATTGTTGCAGAAATCTTCGAGTCCACCAAATTGAGGCTCTTGAGGCATCTCTTTCATACCCAACCCTAGGTGTGGGTTATAACAATAGCCCTTTGGATGCAAAAAGGTTTGAGTGGAGTAGTATTTTGTAATTCATAGAAACACAAAGGAAAAGTTTAAGATTGAGTTATTTCTCTTGGAAATAAGAGGGTCCTTTATACTGAATAAGGAAAGCTTCCATACATATTCCCATTACATGAGAAAGTAAAACCACTTCTTAAAGTCCCTATCCTTATCCTGTTGTCTTTTTTTTTTAATTTAAGTTGTTTTACTCAGTTCCCATTTTTTTATTTTTCCAATGTGTTAGAAAAATAAAACTTAAAATATATAATGTCAAAACAAAATTTAAAATAATCATGTAAAATGCAAGACCCAAATGTGGCTTATTTCTCAAACCCATGGAGGTAAGAATCAATAAACATAATCTTTCTTTTGTAAAGTTATTGTTTTCAAATTATAAATTGCTCGGTACACAAAATTTCCTCTGGAGCCAATGGAAGAAAAAAACGTGACTTCAACATCAAAGATAACACTACATGAATAAGCTCAGTGATGGTCATAGTAGACTCAATTGGACTTAAGATGAATAAACAATTTCAATAAATTGAATTAATTAGATTAGGATGAAGTGTGCAAGCAGTCTGTTTTCTGAAATCATGTACAATAACTTGTTCAAGAAGTGCTAGTGTATAATTGCTTGAAGTCAGAGGATAAAAAAGAGAAAAAACTAAAAATCCATTATGTTTGTGTTAACAGTCTAACTAAACTAATTAACTGCTATCTGAATTTTCACACCTCTGTTTCATGATCTTTCTTGCCTCAAACCTCCAAGCCTCAAAAGCAACAAATAAACAAAAAAGCATTTGATAAAGAACAGTACTAAATATAATGCAAACCATCCCATTTTGATGGGTTACTCTTATTATTTTTTCCATCTTCATGCATTCACATTGCCTCACCAACAACCTTGTTGCATATACTCTCTCTATAAACTTCTGTATCCTAATCAGTTATGTGCACACAAATAAAATAATAAAATATTTTTACACAGTTATCAACTGTGTTATGTATAAAGCTATCTTTAGATTTAGTACCATGAATTAGAATTCCTAACATTCCAGAAAAGTTTGGAAGATCTTCAGATTCCAACTTTTAAGATAATTGGATAAAAAAATGTCAAATCAAATACCAATACCCAACTCTCTATATTTGTTATATAATAACAAAAATGTCTAACAGGCTTTCTGTAGTTTCTACCTAGATTAGAATCAATTGATTCACACACCTTCACTAACTGGGAACTACTCTTTATAATTGATTTTCAAAGAAAGAGACATGAAAAGGAAACAAGTTTTCTTAATAAAGAACTTATGCTTATGTAACAGGAAAGTCACCAACAGCCAACAAAAATCAAAGACAGAACTGTTATTTTGAACCATATGAAATCTCCAATATTTGACTATTTTGTTATATGTAAATGTTTATTTAATACATTTCAACCAGATTTAGGTCTGACTCAGAATTATTCGTTCTCTGTACCTTCCAGTTATTGGAGGTATAATAAAATATTGAAAGATCTCCCAAAAGCCTTCAAATTTTCATTACCATTTTATGTCAAGATGCCAATTTTTCCTTTGAGTATTGAAAAAATATATTCTATAATATGTCCTGATTTCCAAATAACACTTTTCTCTAAGTAAATATAAAACATAGTTTACTGAAGGTTCAGTTATTCTCATATTATCTTATTCTGTTATAGAAGATGTTCTGATATTGCTCAACAATTGGTTTTATACATACCTTATTGTGATTTACTTTTATAATGTAATGAAGTTAAATTTATTTACAAGAAGAGATAATACTGATAGTGATAGTATTTTACATTTCAACATATTTTATTTCCAATAAAATAAAATCACTTTATATAATATTTATAACATGTAACATATCATAATAAATAATATTTTTACACTGATTTTTTCTTTATAGTTTGAGACATACTTTAGAGTTGTAAACAAACTACCCATGAACAGATTTCTTAGTTCTTAATAAAATTTCTTCCCTTGAATTTTTATTTGTGATTCATGAATAACACTAAATCTGAAATTACACAATCAATTTAAGTAAAATAAGGTCTCACAAACCACAAATCAGGTTATATTTATTCTAAGAGTTGAATCTGCTACTAGTCAGTGTCATATCCATGAACTGAAATCTTTGAGACTGATCAGACCCTAATTTCTTATACAGCAATCCCTCTTTCATGCTCTTTGGTATAAAGATTGTCTGGCTAATTTCTACAGTCGAGTTTTGACTGTGAAATGGCACTGAAGTTCAGCAGGACACATTTCCTGTCTATATCCATGGCTGTGGTGCAACTGGTAAGAACACTCAACTAATGAATCTAAGGTCATGAGTTCACTACTGTGTGCAATCGTTTGCTTTGTTGTATTCAAGGGTTATGGTTCACACCCTTCATCACAAATAACTTTCTTGCATATATATGTTATTTATCACAGGAGAGGTCCATGTGCTGGAGTTTGGAAGGAGCAAAGCAAATCGATAGGCATGGGTGGGGAAATCACTCAATGGACCTGTCTGCTTGAGAGTGAGTCAATATCTTCCTCACCCAGGATTCCTGCTGTTGTAGGTTCACACATTCTCCATACTCTCCTCTACCCTTCACAGCA